ACACATACAGGGAGAACACCATGTGAAAATGAAGACTAGAATATTCCTTTCCTCACAGCTCTCAGAAGGAACCAACTCTACCAACACTTTGATTTCACAATTAAGGCCTCCAAAATTATGAGACAATAACTTTTTGTTGTTAAAGCTACCTACTCTGTGCTACCTTGTTATAGTTGCCCTAGCAAACTCGTATAAGTCCAATATTTTATTTTTAAATTTTAAATCTAGGAAAATCCAGCATTTGAAATTTTGTCATGCCTTCATTTTAGAGGTTGAGAACCATTTCCCTATAAGGAATTTTAGAATGTGAATGTATGGTTATGCAATTCTTAGGTTTCTGACTCAGACTTGAGCCAGTTGCTAGTCAACCATTCTAAAAGGCAGGATTTTATTATGGCCAGATTAGCAGCTGGAGTTTCTGGAGTTTGTATTTTTCTTCTATTTATGGTAATAGAGAGGGGGATTCTTTCCAGTCATCTGAGAGCAGTTTCTTAGATGTACAGTTTACCCTTGAACGACATGGGGGTTAGGGGCACTGCGACCACCCATGAGGTCAAAAATCCAAGTATAACTTAAGTTGGCTCCCCACATAGGCGGATTCCCAACCATGGATTGAAAATACTGTTTTCAACTGTTCTCGATCCATAGTTGGTTGAACCTATGGATATGAAACCTGAGTAAATGGAGAGCCAACTTTATGTTTATTGAAAAACACCCACATATAAGTGGACCTGTGCAGTTCAAACCAGTGGTCAAGGGTCAGCTCCATTTTGTATATATTGATTCAGGCATGTCACTTAAGATTCAGAGTCAGCCTGTTTCTTATATGTGAATTACCAGCATCCTTGAGAAATTAGATATGAACAACTTTAAATTTACAGTATATCTTTATTTCAGTGGACTAGAAAAGAATGGCTGGTGCTTTTTATGAGAGGAGCAAGTATCTTAGAAGATAGTATGGCTAAATTGGGAGTGATCCTGGGGAGTCCCTGGGACCCAGGAGGAACTGGCTATGCCCACAGTTTATAGTAGATTTGGATTTGCGAAGCCCTGCAAAAGATAATATTGAAAGTCATACGCAACACAGTTTCTTATCTATTCTGTTTTAATAAACAGGCCAAGTAAATATGCCAACACAACAAAGTACATCATGTTTAAGGGTGACCATATGATGTACAGGTGAAGAACATGGACCCTGGAGTCAGTTTAAGTTAAGGTTCTACCACTTACTAACTGTATGACAGTGGTAAATTATTTCCCATGTATAAAATAAATAAGCCAATGTATCTCCCTTGTGGGGTTTTGTGGTGATTAAATAAGGTGGTAATCCATGTAAAGCAATGAGCAGGATCCCTGGCATATATTAAGTGCTAATAAATGTTAGCTAATAGTAATAGCAAAGGCAGGTATGTGTCCAGGGTGCATGCTACTCCTTCCATCACTCTGTTTTGTCCAGAGAATGAATAATCTCTTCTATTGTAATGTTATAAACTTAGATACAAACTTAGGATCCATACTTTAAAAATACATCTTAACAAAAGAAAACCTGGAAATGCCCTTTCCAGATCAGCTGGTGCTCTTCTTTTATTTAAAGTGAGGTAAATTAAGGTCATGACAGTAGGAATAGAGAAGGTCTCCTGGTTCATAATCTGTTTTTCACAACATATTGCTATATTGCTACCTTCTAAATCACAGAACCAATGTGACCCTTTTCAGTCTTAATTAAGCTTTTGCTTCAAATAAAGCTCTTTTTTCTCTCTACTTTTGTGTGTTTGACATTTTTCTTTAAATAGCTTAAAATTATTAAAATCTTTGATCTGAAAGAAAAATGATTGTGTAAAGCAAATTAGAATATGGTTGATTATACATAGACTGTCTCAGGGACTAAAAAACTGGCAACAGTGGCTGCCTCTGGGGAGGGACACTAATAGTAGAGCAGAAGTAGCACTGATTATAGTGGTATGTGCCAAGGTGTTCCTAAGACCTATAAATTCTGGAGCTTAATCAATTCCTCCAGTTCACTTACAGATTACTAGAGTAAGACATAGAAGAAAGTAGTAATAAGTATCTGTAGTTATTTGAAACTACATAGATTCAGATAAAATTTCGAAGATACCCCTTGTAATAGCCACACTCTTCACACTTCCCAAATTTCAGGGACCAAATAGATTTGGATAAGGGGGAATGCTTTGGTTTCATTTGGGTGAGGATTGCTGCTATGAATTGCATCAAAGTGTGTCTGACTTAGTGACTAATCCTGGGTAAATTTCTTTTTTTTTTTTATAAGCAAAGAAATTCCTTTTTATTTTGCTTTATTTTTTGTTAATCCTTACTTGAGGATATTTTTCCATAGATTTTTTTGATAGAGTAGAAGAGAGGGAAGGAGAGAGAAAGAGAGAGAAACAATGATGCAAGAGAGACACATCTATTGGTTACCTCCTGCACGACCCCAGCTGGGGCGATGATCAAACCTGCAACCCAGGTATGGGCCCTTGACCAGTGGAAATCGAACTGCGACCATTCGGTCCACAAGTGAGCCCTAACTGCTGAGCCCAACTGGCCATGGCTTAACCTAATTTCTCACCTGCCAATGGATGGAGATGGTAAGCCCTGTTCTTAGCAAGTACATAGGGTTTTGCAGTATAAAATTAAGTCATGTAAAAAAAATTAACTCAATTCTAGGTTCAGCCTTATTAGAATACTAGGACCTTAACTCGAACTCTTAGGAGAGAAGTGTGTTAAAAAGGGCATGTTAGATTGCATGTGCAGTATTCAGCTCTCAAAAAAGAGAAAGGGAAGACCAGAATCAACTATGCTTTGGCCATTTTATTTAATACTTTTTACTGTGTGTGTGTGTGTGTGTGTGTGTGTGTGTGTTTACATTGTAATATTTGAGGTACTTTCTGTTTAAAACTTACGATATTGAGAGCCAGTTTACTTCTGACTAACTTCCTCTTTTCTGAAATAGGAAGAAGCATTTTGAAATAAAATGATCCAAATATGTTTTAGGGTTATTACCCATAAGTTTCAGAGCATAGCAGTCAAGAAAGCACTGATAGTATCTGTTCAGCAACTACAATAATCATATATTTAATTTAAGTAATTAAATTCTTACAGTAGAAGTAATAGTTAACCTCAGTGTGCAATGTTACAAACATAATTAACTTTAAAAATTCAGGCTGCTTAATTATAATGAAACCATAAGTAGCATTTGTAATATAGCAGACTTACTCAAGGAAAATGACAAAGTACCTGAAATTATTATCTATGGGCAGTAACTTTTTTCTGCATTCAAGAAGATAATGCTTTATGGGGCTGTGTTTAAGAAACAGTATAGTTACATGGTCTTGAGCTCTTGCCATAAGATACTTAATTACAAAAGGGAAAATAGTAATTTCATAGTGGATAAACCTGGTAGACTTCATCCTAAGTGATCAAAGTTAATGTCACTAGTAATGGGACAAATAGCTGTTTTGGGCTTCCTGGTATGATGTATTTGAAAGGACAAAACATTACTTCTTAGGTATTTTTTGCCAAAAATGCAAACTGAATATAATCATGAATTAATATTGCACAAAACCAAATGGGGGGACATTTTACAAAACAAATTACCTGTATTCTTCAAAAGTCTCAAGAGCATGAAAGATAAAGAAAAACTGCAGAACTGCTACAGATTAAAGGCAAAGAAATTATTCCAAATGAAAAGAGTTGTCATTGAAGAAACATGATGAAACCTGTGATCCAAGATTGGATCCTGAGCCAATTTTTTTTTTCCAAAAGGATATTAATGAGACAATTGCAGAAATGTGCATAAGGTCTGTAGATAAAATAATAGTACTATGTCTCTGCTATTTTTCTGGTCTTGATAATTGTGCTATCTTTAAATAAGATAATATTCATATTTTAAGTATGTACAGTTAAAGGATAAATATACCACTTTCAAACAAATCAGAAAAATAGGTATAGAGATAAAAATATAGAAAGAGAATGATAGACATGCTTAAGTGTTAAAATTTGGAGACTGAATGAAGTTTGTAGGAGAATTCTTTGTACTGCTTTTACAACCTCTTTAAGTCTGATAATTTTTAAACAGGAGCTAATAACTTAATGAAGTTTGTTACTAATTAACTGATTTTTCTTTTTTGTATCAGTAAGCTGTTTATTGCATAACAGTGGTTTGGGGAATGATGATTTGCAGAGAAATGTTAGTATGAAACTCTGGCAAATGGATAATACCATTAGAAAATGACAGGTAGAACAATATTAAAGGAGTTAATAAATGTCAAAGCCTTTTTTCTATATTTGAAAAGTAATTCTTTTATAGACAGCCCTCATTACAGTATGATTCATGTATGCATTTTATCAGTACATTAAAACAATTTAATATTTGGTTTTCATTTTTATCATTGAATTATTTGCATGAACAATTAATTGATTGTTGAGCAGGTTTTTCAAACCCATCTCTGGGTCAGTTTCCTCATCTGTAAAATGAGATGACTGGACTAGATTATACTTTAAGGGTCCGTTCAGTTCTAAAATTTTGAGATCTTATAACTAGAAAGAAAATGAGAGTTAATTTCTCCATTTGAGTCAAAAGCTGTTGTTAAACACAGCCTGTGTACCAAATGACAGTGTAATATTTATTTAAACTCACAGATATTTTTCTGTCAAAGAAACTTTTGTTGGGATTTTATTTAATTGTACATTGGTATACAAATTTTCATGCATTAATAATATTAGTAAATTTAATGTGGTTTATATAGAAGTATACTGTTATAGGATTTTCCTATGAAAAACTTGGTTGATAAGACTCAAGATTAATAGTGAAAGTTTAGGTGGTCTTAATAGATATATATATGCACTGCAGCCTTGAAGGATTGTCAAGGTACAAGTAGCTGATGATGTAAAAACTAAATTGATGTTTAGTATAAAATAATTTTTGGTTATATTTAACAAAAGCAAAATTTTGTTAATTCTTTTTTTTCCCTCACCTCTTTCAGCTTGGTGATCCAGCTATTTTTCCTGCCGTAATTGTGGAACATGTTCCTGGTGCTGATATTCTCAATAGTTATGCGGGTCTAGCCTGTGTGGAAGAGCCCAATGACATGATTACTGAGAGTTCCCTGGATGTTGCCGAAGAAGAAATCATAGATGATGATGATGAAAACATCACCCTTACAGGTAGGTGTGTGTGTACCTCCAGCAGCACCTTACTTCAGCCTGGTTTTAGGCAGTGTCCTAGACTTGTGATTTTTGGGGGATATAAAGTCCCTGACTTGGTTTTGAATAACTCTATTACCTGTGGAGGCTAGAGCCCTGCAGGTAGTTAACCTTTCTCATCTGCCTGTGTTTCATAGTGCTTTCTCGCCTCCCCTTTCTTCTTTCCTGAACATATTGAGAAAAATGTGACAAATAAGGAGGTAAGGGACACAAGTGGAACCAAACCGACTTAATTCAAGTCTTCTCTGAGCACATTTTATGTACCTAGCTCTATATTCCTGATAAAAGTTGTTAATAGGGAAAAAGATAGGAAAGTTTTTCTTTTTCTTTTTGCTGTCATCACATAAAACAAAATAGGAAGCCATCATCCAAATGTAGGATAAGGTGCTAAGGTTAAAGAAGATTCCTCCTCTGGTTGAGTCAGAACTAGTAGGATATTTCATCCTTGAAGAGTTCACTATGTAAGTGTGAGGTATAGTGGTAGTACTATTTTCTTTGGTTTTAGAAATTGATGCATGCACTGCTGTTATTACACATTACATGCAGAGATGTTAGAACAATTTGAGAAAATAAATTATTTGGAAGCAAAGGTTATTTAAATATTCTTAATTAAAAACAACAGAAAATTACTATTACGCCCAATATTATTAACTAAGTCTAGACCTTATTTATTTCACCCATTTCATACTAATGTCCTTTTTCTGTTGCAGGATTCTGTCTGGAATCTCATGTTGAATTTAGTTGTTTTTCTTCTTAGTCTCTTCCAGTCTGTAACAATTCCTCTGTCTTTCTTTCTCATAACCTTGACACTTTTGAGAAGTACTGGTTAGACATTGTAGAATATCTCTGTTTTGTGTGACATTTCTTCATCATTGGAATGAGATAAATGAATTTTGAGCAAGAATTTCATCAGATTGGCATTGTCTCCTCAGTGCATCATATTAACATAATTGATTAAAAAATATATTATCTCAATTAATTTCATAACAGAAAAAGAAAACTGAAACTAGAGAAGTTAAATTACATGATTTGCCTAAAGTCACACTCTAAGTGACTCAGTCCCCATGGATAACATTGACAAACAACACTTAGTTTGTCTATTTTTTATAAAGCACGTTCTTATATATTCATATTTTTTGTTTGGAAAAACCCAGTGAAAGTTTTTTTTATAAATCTAAATTTGTTTCTCCCTTATGGATAAGGGAATTAGATTAATCAGGTTAGAGGCTTCTGTTCATTGTTGGCTGGGATCTATAGGTTTGTATAATAGAATGACCACCACTATGCATATATCTGTTGTGTAGCTAGCGATGTTTTTGCAGTGTATTTTGAATTCTCGATGCCTTAGGTGGAAGGCTATACTACTCTCTGTAGGTTGTAAACTAGGGTCTTCCCGGTTTTGGTCACTATCAGGGAAGATATTAGTCCTCAAAGAAGAAATAGAGCCTAGGAAAGCAGATCTTAGATCTTTAAGAGAAGGAATTGCTTCTTCCTTTCAGTGCTTTATTTTCTGAGGCTTATACTTGAAGATAGGTGATGACGAGGTACAGACAGGTTCCTTCCTTCCTGGAATATGGAAATGGTACAGAATGAGTCCAGAAATAAAAACGTATTTTGAAAACCAGATTTGCTTTTTGAATGTTTCTTCTCCCTACCCCCTTTTTTTAACTGATCTTTGTTGTTGAATGTATTATAGATGTTTCTGTCTTTTTTCCCCATTGACCCCCTCCTCCTTATTCCCGCCCCCTCCTGCCTTCTCCACACTATTGTTGGTGTCCATTGGTTATGCATATATGCATAGTTCTTTGGTTTATCTCTTCTTGCTCTCCCTCCCCCTTTCCTTTGAGGTTCATCAGTCTAACAACCAATTTGTACTTCCTTTTTTTTTTTTTCCAAGTAACAATTTTATTCTAGTCTATAGCACAAATTTTTACATACATTTTAGTGGTTTTGACAGTGTTACTTTTGAGCAGGCTTTTAATGAATCCACAAAAGTTACTATATTAAAAATAAAATACACACAATAAAACAACAGGAATGCAGATGCTGAGAATCATGCAGGTCGGGGTGGTCTGGCCAGTGCTATGATGGAGAACCTTGCCTATTTAAGAGTTCACTAGTGAATATCAGTTCTTCTGTTCTTCATCCCTCTATAATTCACCAAAATCAGAGAATTCTAAACATGTACACACAAAATAAACCGTTTTGTAAAGCTGTCTCAGTACAAAAATTCAGTAAACAAGCCTAAATGTATCTTCAAACCAACATTTCCATTGATCAAGCCAGTTATTAGAAAATAGTCACTATCAGCACCTGATCTAAAGGCAAGGTGGTCTCATTTATTAAAACACCAGCAAGGGCCCTGGCTGGTTTGGCTCAGCGGTTGGAGCGTCGGCCTGCAGTCCTGAGAGACCCGGGTTCGGTTCCCGCTAAGGGCGCGTACCTCGGTTGCAGTTTGTCCCCGGCCCTGGTCGGTTGTGCGGGTGGCAGCCACTCGATGTGTTCCTTTCACGTCGATGTTTCTCTCTCTCTCTGTTCCTCTCTCTCCCTCCCACTCTACCTGAACAAAGGATGGAAAAATGTCCTCGGATGAGGATTAAAAACAAAACAAAACAAAAAAAAAACACCAGCAAGGGATTAATCAACACAGCAGCTAATATGTTAATCTTAATATAAGACACCGAGGGAAAACCAAAGTAATATATTAAATACCACTCCACTAAGCCAGGAGATAGCCTATGGATTATAGATACATGAGTTTCTATCTGTCAAACAATGCTTTAAATATTTTTCCATCTTAAAGAAAAAAAGGATATCAGGAAATACAGAAGAAAGGTAGAAATGTGAATTGATGCATCTAATTCCACAGTTTAAAAATGAGTATCAAATTAATAGAGAGCTAAGTGACAGGGACTTCACCGTCAGGCACCAAAGAGGCAACACCACTGTTCACTCTAACTCCTCATGCTCCTCAGTCTCAGCGGAGGGCCAACTGAACAATACGAGAATACAGACTGAGCACTCATCCACCGCTGACAAAGACCCCAAAGAAGACATCACAAAGGCGCAGAGAAACAGTTGAGTCTTCTGAAAAAGTTAATGATATCAAAATACTTCACCCATCACAAGTAAACCAAACTAGGTCAAGTACATGGCCTGAAGCAGCACGGAATTCAGAGTCAGAGGTTGGCAGAAAACGTCTGGAAAACTGCGGTTTTAAAAATTGGCAATGTCTCCATGCTTAATAATACTGCCGAAGAGGTATAATGTTTGTTCGTTCGTGGAATGTTGACAGCTTGCTCAGAAACTCACGTGGAGGAACCGCGGACATGCGCGTCAATGGAACGTTTTTTTTTTTCAAAATGTACAAAAAACGGAAGTTACTGTTTAAAAAATAACCATGTTATGCCAAGATGAAACATGGTGTAAGTTCTGCCCATGATTCTTTACACAGCTGATGGGAAAGTGATAGAAAACATTTTCTCTTAAAAAGGAAGCTTTGCGATTGCACTGACTTTGACAACCTGACCTAGTAATTTAGAAAAATCATGTAGTAAAATCTGTAAAATTAAAATACAAAATTCTGGTTTGTAAACATCAGTTGGCCAAGTCTATCCAGAGTCCTGCATGATAGTGGAATGGAATGAATAATTAATTCACTACCTTATTTATTTGTTCTGGAACATTCCAGAACACAGCATTTATACTTTCACAGTAATTATATTCAAACTGTATCAAGAAAGTCGGTGCAGTTGTCTTTTTTCCTCCTCCTGTGCAACACTCAGCTCTTACCCCACCCCCAAGCACCATGACTGAAATAATACTGGCACGGACACCCGACAGGTCATAAATGGTTCATAAAGTCTGTAGGACTTCGGTAAAGATATTTTCAAATGGCATAGCAATGCACTGCAGCTGCCGTGGCCATGAGCAGGTGCCAGATGGCGTGGGCAAACGGGATAATGTCATCGCTCTTGACAAATACAACGCCCAGGTAGTAAATGAGGCCCCCACAGGCAAGTTCATGAAGTCCACCCATGTTGTTCATTTGATGTCACCACCAAGGCTGGAGAGAACCCCATCGGGGGGTAGAAAAAGAGCTCGATCACCTTATACTTTTCATGGTAGAGAATTACATAAATGGTTCCTCCAGCTGCCATGAGCCAGATAAACCAACGCATATGAGATGCCAGGGGTCCAAGTTCACAGAGGTTTAACCAGGGCGCGTAGGAGGCCGCGATGTGTGACACCATCCTGTCACACATATGGAAGCAGTGCTCCACCGTCCTTAAGTGGCTCTTTTTCCGCAACACAATGTGAAATGCTGTGGAAACGATGAAGAAGGTGCAGAGGCCCATTCCGTAAACCCATGCTCTTACCTTCTCCCAGCAGTCATCAGACAGCCGGTGGAGGAGGGCACTGCCCACAATGGCTGGGACGATGAGGAATGCGTGTTGTAACAGCAGCATGTTCATAACAAGTAGGTTTGTAACGGCCATTGGCTGGGGCCCGGTGGTTCATGAACCGCTGGAATTGATTCTTGAACCACATTGCTCCTCCTCGCGGCCCTCATGAGCCTAGGCTGCTCCAGAGACTGCCCGGTGCCCGGCGGGCCAGAGCCGGAATGGGTCAGGCCGGGGGTCGGGACAGGGCCGGGGCCCGACCAGCCAATTTGTACTTCTTAATTCCTTCATCTTATTCACCCAGGCCCCCAACCCCCACCCACCTGGCAAGCCACAAAAAATTCTCTATCTATGAGTTTGTTTCTGTTCTGCTTGCTCATTTTGTTTGTGGATTCCATTGTTGATAGATATGTATTATTTGCCATTTTATTGTTCATATTTTTGTTCTTCAAGAAGACCCTTTAACAGTTTATATAATACTGGTTTGGTGGTGATGAATTTCTTTAGCTTTTTCTTGATATGTCTATCGATTCTAAATGATAGCTTTGCAGGATAGAG